GGGTGCGCTGGCGAGAGTCGATATACCCAATGATTAGTCGTATGTACGATCTAATCTACCCTTCCATTGGCCTGTTTGAGAGGAACGTGGAGGCCTGCGATCGTCTCTATCCCTCAGGGTGGTGCGGTCGTATACCCTCTACACTCTGCAGCCGGCGGTATCCTTTCGGAGGTCCACAATGTTGTGGATCTAGTGGGATGGCGCTATATTAAAAGTTGTTTGTTGTTTCATACAAATGGGCTGATGTTAAGAAATGCACAAGACTTCACTTAAGGATTTGCATGCACCTTCTATTTGCTTGTATGCATATTGTGGATTCGGTGGCATAGCACTATAGGTTATTTGTTGTTTTATGCAGATAGATTGTCATGTACTAACAAGTCTCCTGCAATGACTGCAGACACCTGTATTTGTTGCAGTTCTTTCATATCCTCTCACAGATAGCATGTTAAGTATACCACCGGTCTTCGACAAGGGCCTATAAGTATTTGTATTTGCCACACATCATCTGCTTTAGCCTGTAGATGACTAGTACATTTTCCTGCCATTGCATGCTCCTTGATTGTAAGGATACTGTAACAACCATTGTCTATTATTGATTAGCACTCGTGGGGTTATTATACATAAGGCAAATCCTCTATCATTACCGGCAAGTGTTTGCATTGATCACATATTGCACTGTGTATGTTTGCAAGGAGTTTCACTATTTGTAGGGTTTAATGTGCTTGTTTATTTGTTGACATTGACGATAAGATGTTGTGATCCTCTTAAATATGTTCGTGGGTAACTGTCATACCAATAACATACATAGCACTATCATTCACATACAAGCTAGTGTATTCATTTGCGTCTTGTTGTTGACTGTTGATTGTGTTACTTTCATTATTAATTTCTTTATGTACACTAGATGGCAAATTGTCATGTTCGCTCATATATTGGTTTCTTGCATTTACAGGAGACCAGTGTGTATACTTGCATATTGCTCAGCATCAGCTATAGGGGTATCACTACACTCATTGTGAACCTCCCATACTTTATTCACAAGCACATCGTTGCACCCTTCATGACCTTCTGGCGTATATTTGTAAGATGGTAGCCCAACACTATCATCTACCGACAAGTTGGCATGTTTGCTTGCAGGTTACTTGGTACTGATAGTAATCGATAGTAAAGAGGCTATCTCATTCACGACTTTCTTGCTTTGTTGGTAGATACGTGTCTCCCTTTATTTGCATATTAATGTCAGCTGCAAAGTGAGTTTCATTTGTTATTAATCTCCTTATACGTATTGGTTGGTGAGTGTCTCATTTGCTTGCATATATTTCAGTGCTTGTGGGAACTATCGTACGCATTCCCAAGACAATTGGCATTGGTTGTAGGGGGATTTGTTACATTTACAGTTCATATATTGTCATTGTTGCTTTTTAATATATGTATGCACTTATAGGCTTGTTATCTTTGCTTATAGGTCATATACCACATTCAATGCAACTCCATTATCTATGATTGCGGGATTGGATGCAATTGCCTGTTGTCTTGATGTTGACCATAGAGCATTATTGCTTTCATTGCACAACTCTTGTCGCCACTCATGGATATTTCATTATATGCATTGTTGTTTAACATGTTTGCTTGTATAACTTGTTGAAATTTGCTTATAAATATTCAAATGTTGTATGGTAATTAATCTTCATGTATTGAATGCTTTGTTTTCCATAAATCGAATGTTCATTCATTGATGTTCATTTTCATAGCTAGAATTGTTGTTAATCATTTGCATTTTAATCATGATTATGCCTTTTTTTAATTAAATGTTTGGTTCCCTCCTGTCCATGTTCAAGTCAAGTTCAAGCTTTGACCCTTGCTATTTTGCTTAAATTCAGGTTCTCTATCAATGAAAAATCCAGCAACCTCCTAGCTATCTCCACCGTTTAGGGAAAATCTGAAAGTTTTGGCCTTCCTATCACACTATAAAGAGCGTGTATGATAATTGTTGGACGACACCGCGATTGTGATTCTTCAACCCCCTCCACGCTATGAAGAGCATGTACGGATCTTCGATGTACCTATTGAAAATACACAATTGCTTTTCCCAGTAGGCACTCAGGCGCATACGAGTACTTAGAAGTGTACCCGCCATGCTACAAAGAGCGTGTACAAAGCCTACCTCCTTGCCGAAAGCGTCGCGTCAGATTTCCTCCCATCATGCTACGAAAAGCATATACAGGAGGTCGCCTGGCATGCCGCGAACACTGAATGCAGTATTTTGAGAGCTTTTGGGATTTAGGGACATTATACCTGAGCGACGTGATCAACAACGGTGTAGGCGAAATGCAGACTACACAAATCTCATATTTTTTTTTAATTATTTTCTCTCCTTTTTTATCTTTTTTTTTTTTAATCTCCTTCACTCTCCTCTTTTTTCTCTTTTTTTTTTAATATTAATGGTTATTATGACAACTATCATCATTATTATAATGACTACTAATAAAAATTGTTCTAGCAATTATCATCGCAATTAATAACAAATTGTAATGACCATCAAGCACAAGCAACGATAAAGAATATGTAATTGCAAATGAGAATTTTTTCCTTTTTACCTTTGTGGGCTATTTGGGATTTTTGGATCAAGTTGATTTTAAAATGATCTTGGGCTGTTGAGTTGAAAAGGGATGGTATAGATTATGAAAAAGGAACATGCAAATGGGTTGTGAAAAGGAAATGGCAGAAGCTCTAGACGGATTTATTCTGTGAAGTTAAAGGCCTTCCCTTGATATCGGTGTTGAATCCCCTATTATCACCATATGGAATTCCTTCCCCAATTTGTGGCCCCATCTATTCGCTCATGAATCCTTCATGTGTTGGGTTCCTTGTTTGGCTGCCAGCTAAAAGTTGATAATGCCACCTCTGTTGGCTCTCGGCCCTCTCTAGCGCATGTCTTGGTTGAATTGGACATCACTAAAAACTATCCGGATAAAGTGTGGCTCGGCCTTGATAAGTTGGGTTACATCCAGAAAATGCAAATTGAGGTTTTCCCTCCATTTTGTGAGCTCTGTAAAGCTATTGGGCATGTAAGGGGGGAGTGTCGATCTTTGTCCTTTGTCCCCATTCTTGTTACTTCTGCGAATCCTATTAACCTTGTTAGGAACGAAACTGATGTTATGGAAAATGTTGTTAGTGAGGGAAATGTTGTTGTTGTTTCTTCTAATCCGTTGGGTCCTTTTAAACCTTTGGTGGGTAATGGGGTCGAGGTAGCTGGGGTTGTTGGTCCTCCCTCGGGTACTTCTGATGGTGGGGCTCATGTTATTTCAGTGGTTCCGATTGTTGTTGATGGTGGGTCTCCCATTGTTTTGGTTGCACCGGTTGTTGTGTTGGTTCCTCCTAACCAAGCTGTTAAGGACATTGACATGTCGTTGTCTATTGTTAGGCCGATTGTTCCTTCTTCTAGTAATTTTGTGGAAGGGGGTTTTGTTCTGATGTAACTCACAGTGGTGAGGTTGTTGAAGCTGGTGGATCGATTCCTTGTTTACTTAATCTGGTTATTAGTCCTATCGTTTCCCCTGACTGTAATATTGTTGTTAGTGATGGTGAAGCAGAATTTTCTTATGAGGATGTTTCTTTTGATCCTGGGAACTATGATTTGTGTTCCATCTGAAGGTGGGTTATTGAATCTTAATTTTTGTGAGAGTGCTAATGCTTATGTTCTTAAGGGTGATGATCATATGGTGGGAAATGGGGGAATGGTTGATGTCACCATTTCAGTTATTTCTAATGTTGCCTTGCTCCCTCACATATCTTACAGTTTTAGAGATTATGAGATTATGGATGGGGATTGGTTGAATGTTGAATTTTCCCCAACTGATGGAGAGGAATTTGATGAAAATTCTTTAGATTCGAGGGACAATATTGATCTGAGTATTCTACAAATTACTGACGGTGCTCTTTTTCTTAAAAATACTAAGAAGAAAATGCGTAAATCAAAGAAGAAATGAATTTCCATCCGGTTTAGGAATAGCTGCTGCTTTTTCTTCTGTGTTATGGGTGGTTTCCTCAAGTGCGTGTGATATGCTTTGCGATGGTTTTCTCTATTGGATGGTAGTTTCTATGTTGGATGGTGGTTTGTTCTGGCCTATGATGATGAAGTTTTGGTGTGCTACCTCTTAGGCCTAGCTTGTTGGCAACATTGGTGGCCTTTTGCGGGTTGGATTGTGGACTGTCGCACTTCGTTTGCTGCCTCCAATGGAGGGCCCTTGCTTGGCTTGAGGGTGGGTGTGCCCTGCCTCCTGAGTCTAGTTCTTCACATTTGTGTCTCTTGTAATCTTAATTTCACTTTGTTTTGTGTTTGGCTTTCAGACTCATTAGGTTTCTTTTTCCTCCTATATTGCTGCTCTTGGGAGCTTTAGCGAGCCCTTTCTCTATTCTGTCATTGTATCCTTTTATCGTTTAACATGGAGGCCTTTTGATTTAAAAAAAAAAAAAAAAATCCCTCACCCATTACCAACTATAGTGTGCACCAAAGCACTAGATGCAAGAAAATTATTGCAACCATTGTAAGAAAAGCATAGGAGGAAAACATGGGAAACACAGGAGAAAAAAAGTCATTGTAACCACACGTAACAAAGGAATCTCATAAGACAGAAGTCAGCAAAGCCGCATGGAATAAGAGTCCAACATTTTATGGAAACAACTGAAGTCTACATGCTTCAAAAATATTCAAGGCACCTGCAGAGCACCTTTGAAGAAGTGTTTTGAGGCACAGGACATAGCTTGATCTTCTCACACAAAATATGACTCATCACATCGTGATCCATGATGAAGGCATCTCAAAACAGAGCAAGATATCGCTTCTCAATAAATATAAAACAAATCATAGCATGACAATGATCATACATAACTTTTGACCTCAATGACGTTCCAGCGTATCCATAAATGTTTACCACATTTAACTTGTCCGAGACTCCAGTGATGCTCCTTCAAAGGTGATAACTAATCTCTGATGATTATGTTGATTGTTTTGTTTTGCAAATTTTATACCGGAAAACTTAAAATCAAGGGCTTACATTGTTGAAAGGCGTATGAGACGCCGCGCATACAATTCAATGCTTTTGCACCTGATTAGTTATATGCATCTAAAACAACTGAAATCAATATGAATGTAAAAGAATGAGAATACAGTGAAATAGCAAGAAAGAAACTCGTTAAAGTTTCGTTCCATTATTATTCTTTCTCATAACAACCAAAGTCATCGGAGATCCATCCAGAGTAAAATTCCTAACCTCAACAATGCTTGACGTTTTGAAGAGCTTCTCAACGTGCTCCACACCATCCTTCGGCTCCCAACCGTCAACTGCCAGTACCGTGACGCCGGCGTTCCGCACTGTTCGTTCTATCTCCTCCACAAACCGCCTGGGAAACAGGGCAGCGGCGAAACCGGTGCTGAAACCGAGATCGAAAACTCCATCAAAGAATGGGAGGTTATGTGGGTCAGCACGCTTGACGAGCGGCGGGAAGTCGATGACCTCGACCCCAGTAACGTCAACAACGCCGGAATCTTGGAGCGCAGCAACCTCGTGGCCAGCACCCGCGGAAACGCAAAGAACGTGGGATGAATTGGAGAGGATGCCAAGAGAGCGGAGGGACAAGAAGAGGGAGGAGAAGGATTGGACGCGGCGTTGGAAGGCATGGGTGGAGCGAAGCTTATGGAAGCGCTTTTCTGGGGGTATAATGTCGCGGGAGGCGGCTTCACATGAAGAGCTAGGAAACGGTGAAAGGGTTAGGGTTAGGGATTGCGACTGGTTTCGTCGGTGGAGGAGCGAGGGATCGCAGGAGAAGGAGGAGCGCGAGAAGAGGTGGAGGAGAGAGAGTGTGGCGATGGCAGCGAAGCAGAGGGAGATGCGATTCAGGAGTCGTTCAACGTGATCCTCCATCTCCGGCGAGCGCCGGCGGTGGCGTTTACAGAAGAACGGGAATATTTATCGTAATGGCGATCGTCTTAGCCAAATTCAGATATCCAGCGGATTGTGCATCTTCATCTATTTGGTTGCCATTGGTAGCAAAATAATTTTAGGGACAACCATATTTCGTCATTTGTCTTCTATTAATTTGAGGAATTACTGTATGCGGAATCCGAATGTAAATCATCATGCGCTACATCACTGGATGTACTGGGCCCCGAAGTGCATCCGTTGATGTGGCAAGCTGTGATTGGAATCCAAATGCATTCGGATTCCGCACACAATAATTTCTCTATTAATTTTGAGTTGCACCACACAAAATAAAATGTTAATGGGCATTTATACAGATAGTACTTAAAAATAGTTAAATTACATATCTAACACTAAAAACTTATCATTTATTCACAATACTGAAATCTTTAATAACATCAAAAATACATTACATTGTTGATGATACATAAGTTGTCAGTCTTATCTCGATACACTTCTCACAAATTTCTTTACACAACATATGGGTAGTTAGTCCTATCAATACACGTTCGAGTGAAATCGTATTGTGGCTTTCTCAACTTTTCTTCTTCCTCAACATTTTCCTCTGTCAATTATCTTTTGTAGCAAGAAGTTTTTCGACTTCTGCACTTCTTTCTCGTTAAATCGTACATGTTGTCGATCATGTTGAGCACCCCCCCTCAATGAGATCTCATCATGCTTACTCTCTTTCTTCATCGTCAAAGGCTTCAAAACAACATTACAAGAAAAATGTAACAAAGTTAACTCTGTATTTGAAATAAGCTAACTCTGTTCATCTAAAATATAGGTCTTCCACATCCAAATTCGGCCCATTTTAAATTATGAGCTAGTTTTTTTTATCATTTTTGTTTTTTTTTTTATATTTAACATGAAATAAACAAAGTTAATATAGTTAAAAATATTTATTTTTTGTAGATAGTGGTGCCAGTGGTTGTTGATAGGGCAACAATGGAAGCTGATGAGAAATGGTGCTAATGGTGATCGCTAGCGTTGCTGGTGGCGATGGTCGTCAATGGTTACTGGTTGCAATAATAATGACGACAATGTTGATGACCAATAGTTATCATGTATTTAACATTAAACACACTCAAAATAAAAATAAAATGAAAAATCAAACATAATATTATTTGTCGATGTAATGGTTGGCAAATCATAATATTGTACCAACCATGGTTTGTGGTTCAAGCAAAAATAAAGCTGTTTATAGGGTTCGGACCACATTTGACAATTAGTGGTCCATGGTTATGCGTTGCCTAACCAACCATGGAGATTTTTGTTATGAGCCTCTTTTGTTGAACATCAATTAGCAGTGTAAATCATAGCGATTTTTATTTCTGAAGCTTCATAGGGTTTATTATTAAGCAGTGTAAACTCCATTAGCTTGCTCTAGTGAGCTTTGTCGTGACTTCTATACTTTCGCTCCAGCAATGCCTTTCCATAGCACTCTCAGTTGCAACTTCTCTTTCTTTCTTATGTTGGTGCCATCGATGTCTTGCCCTAGCTTAGGCTTCGTTTGGGACAGTTTTTTTTCTGCTTCCTAAAGCGACAAGACTAGTGGTTTGGTGATGCACAACATCTTAGATAAAATAGGCCTTAGGAGTAATTTGCTTATTTTGTACCTATTTTCTGGAAGTTTTTAGAAGTTTCTATTGCCAAATATATATGTAAGTTGCTTTAGGAAGAAAGATAAGAATGATATTTTTGGAAGATTAACAGTAATTACTATTCTTTGATTTTCTTGCTCTTAGGAGCAATTGTCTGTGATGATTCTTAAATGATCTTCCCACATTAGTTGGTATCAGAGCCTTGGGCTCTGCTATATCAACCTTTGATGTCAATTGGAGTTATTTGATGCTTTGGGAAGACCATGGATGAAGACAAATTGTCAACGACGTTGAAAGCCTCTACCGGCCGGCAACGACAAAACAATTCTCCCCCGATGGAAACCATAATGTCAAACATCTCCACGCACGATTGGCCCATCCGTGACCTTAGCTGCGCTCCTCATGATCGACCCACAACATCGATATGCCCTCCTCATGATCGCCCCACAACATCGATATGTGTCTGTTCCCTTGCTTGTTAGTCTGCACAAACAGCCACGTCGCTATCTACGCAAGTAATTCGTTTCGAAATTATCTTCTTCAGAACGGTATAATTCATCAACTTAGTTGTCCGCATACGCCTCAACAAAACGGAATGGCTGAAAGAAAACACCAACATCTTCTCGACACGACTCGTACTCTACTTCACGCAGCAAACTTACCGGAATTTTTTTGGGCAGAAGCAATTTTAACGGCAAATTACTTAATAAATATTCTTCCTTCATCTTTTATTAAAAATCAAACTCCTCATTTTCGTTTACATGGTTTTAATGTTTCTTACGATCATCTTCGTACTTTTGGTTGTTTGTGTTTTCCATGGACAAAACCTTACACTCCAACTAAATTGTCTTCTTGCTCTCAGGTTTGCATTTTTCTCGGATATTCTCCTCATCAAAAGGGGTATCGATGTTTTAATATTGATCACAAACGTGTTTATACATCTAGAAATGTCATTTTTTATGAAAGAATCTTTCCTTATTCTACTAACACAGCCCTCTAATTTTGGACAAAATTGCTAATTCTTCGCCTTTACTTCTTGTTCCGGTGTCTGCTATTTCACAAGGTTCTATGTTACAACAATCTGAGCCACCTAGATTTTCAAACACTCATTCTATACTTCCTGTTAGTCCTTTAATTTCTTCTGTCAGGAATTCAGGTCCAGATATTATAACCAATACATCTATCAGTTCTCCAACTGCTATTGTTCGGCATCCAATGCAAACTCGTCTCAGATCAGGGATCTCGAAGCCTAAGCTTATCTTTGATTTATCTACTGTTACTAGTTCCAGTAAAGAGCACATTCCAAAATCAGTTAAAGAAGCATTCCAACATGACCATTGGAAACAGGCTATGCTACAAGAATTTAACGCTTTGCAGAAACAATGCACTTGGTCGTTGGTACCAATACCGCCGGGCACAACAGTGCTTGGTAGCAAATGGATCTTTACAACTAAACTGGATCCTAACGGTAAAGTGTCCCGCTACAAAGCTCGTCTCGTTGCACAGGGTTGCTCTCAAGAATTTGGTATTAATTACAAAGAGACGTTTAGCCCTGTGGCTAAAATGGTTACCATTCGAATGCTTCTTACGGTCGCCTTAAATTCGAACTGGCCGGTGACCCAACTTGATGTATCAAATGCGTTCTTACATGGAGAGTTGCAGGATGAGGTCTATATGAAACAACCTCGTGGATTCGAAGATAGTCTTCATCCTCGGCATGTTTGCAAGCTTCACAAGTCTATCTACGGTCTCAAACAATCACCGAGGCAGTGGTTCCAAAAGTTCACTAATTTCCTTATGACTCTGGGTTTTACATTCAGCAAAGCTGACCCCTCTCTTCTTATGTTTAATAAAGATAATATTCATCTTTTTATTTTGATATATGTAGATGATATTCTTATTACAGGAAACAATTCAGGAAAAATTACAGAGACGCTGCAATGTCTTCAGACGGAGTTCAATCTAAAACAACTTGGCAATGTGTCTCTGTACTTAGGAATCCAGGTGATCAAAACTAATTCGGGTTATTTCCTTCATCAATCACATTACGCATATGATCTTCTTTGCACTGCAGGTTTTTCAGATTGTAAGCCTTCCCCGACACCGTCTGTTACAAAGTTGCCGGTCAATCTGGATGAAACACCCTATGCTGATCCTCAACAATTTCGCAAACTTGCTGGATCTCTTCAATATTTGTCCATTACAAGACCTGATATTGCGTTTGCAACCAATGCAATTTGTCAACATATGCATCATCCTCGGAATTGTGATTTTCAAGCTATCAAACGTTTGATGAGATATATAAAAGGTACGCTCAGCTTCGGACTTCCATTGATCACCGGTGATCTCTCTCTACGGAGCTACACGGATGCGGATTGGGCCGCGAATCCTACTGATCGGAAGTCTATTTCTGGATTCTGCACTTTTCTTGGACCAAATCTGATTTCGTGGTCGGTTAAGAAGCAAACAACGGTTGCCCGATCTTCCACTGAAGCCGAATATCGGGCCCTGTCATCTGCAACAACGGATACATTGTGGCTGCGACGGCTTGCAACAGATTTCAATATTCCTCAGCTCACTCCTACTACCATCTATTGTGACAACATGTCGTCTATTGCACTCGCTCACAATCCCGTTTTCCACGCCAGAACGAAGCACATAGAGATTGATTATCATTTTATTAGCGGACATATTCAGCAAGGCAACATTACCGTTACACATATTGCTTCCGAAGATCAAATCTCAGATATTCTTACCAAATCTCTGCCTATTAATAGGTTTTACAGTTTAAGATCCAAATTAACAATTCGTGATCAGAATCGTTAATTTGAGAGGGGCTGTTAATGAATAAGGCCACGTCAGCAATTCTTTGTACTTTCTTGAATAAGTTTTATTATAAATACTGTTGTATTAGTTTGTAATAGATATACAATAGAATTTTACTTTCTCTGTTTTTACCGCTGTTGCTTCGTTCTTCTTTCTCCCTGTTCTTCCCATCTCGGGTTCAAGAACTCATCATTCTGATCCGTCTGGAAATCTCTGAAAAGAAGATCTGACGGAGGAAAGAAATGAAGCAATGAAATATTTTAAAACTCAAATAAGATATTTTAGAAAGAAAATTAAAACAAAATACAAAAACAACATGACGACCTCTGGCCATCTTGCCGCTTCGTTTGGGACAGTTTTTTTTCTGCTTCCTAAAGCAGCTTTCCATAAGAAGCAGTAAGAAAGTCATTCCAAACGAAGCCTTAATTACAATCAAGTAGCTTTGTTCTTAGGTATAAAATGAAAGCGACAAGAATAGTGGTTTGGTGATGCACAACATCTTAGATAAAATAGGCCTTAGGAGTAATTTGCTTATTTTGTACCTATTTTCTGGAAGTTTTTAGAAGTTTCTATTGCCAAATATATATGTAAGTTGCTTTAGGAAGAAAGATATGAATGATATTTTTGGAAGATTAACAGTAATTACTATTCT